GCTAACGCGTTGTGCACAGCACCACCGTTGCCCGGCAACCTGATATATGATATATGGTACAAAAATAGTCATAAGTTCGCGTCCCGTTGCCATGGCGTCTTTTAAATCCCCGCCCACACCCCCTGGCACGGACGGCGAGGAAGGGGAGGATCCGAAAAAAAAGTATAAATAAATCTTAAATGACGCTTTTATTTTTATTAGTATTCAACTTTAATTTACTTATGGTTATATAATAATTTTGTTATTATTACTTAGTTATATATATATATCCTTTCATTTGGCAAGTTTATGTATTGCTTTAATTCTATCATTATCTTTACCATTATTAATTATATTTATTCGTTCATTTTCGCTTTATTTTATTTACTTATCTTTCCTTGTACGTATTTATTGTATGAATGAATACCTTTAGCATTAATAATTAATTCACTTGGATGAGATAGCTGATGAATAATGGAGTAAGAATTATTGTTAAATAAAAGGTATTATACAATTACCATACATGCATAATTAGCTATGCATTCAAGAACAATGTAGACGGAAACTGCAACATTTCACTGTTACCAACTCGAATAAGCCTGATTTGTTGGCACTTTTAGTAAATTGATATTTGAGCCCACAATGAAGGCACCGCCTTAATGAAAATTATATTCATTAAAGCACCGCAAAATTTGTGTTGCTTTTATTGTTTATCTAGATATTTTTTTTTTATTAATTCAAATAAAATATACATCACAATCGAATATAACAGTTCTGAAATATCTCAATTGCAATGGCGTAACTGTTGGTCTCATAAAATGAAACATCACTTAACTTTAAAAATCACAATCAATGTTTTTAAAAATAACATCGATTTTAAAGTTAGTATAGTAATTTTATAAGTTATTACTGAAATAAAGCATGAGTGATTCTTAAAAAGATTTGTTAATTGTTGGAGAATCGCTGAAGATCCGAAGAATAGTTTTGGAAACACCGGAGCATTGACATCACTATCCCGTTTTAGTTTGGTTGAGTAACCCATTTTTCTGTCGTTGTCCTATGCAATATATCTTGTATGTATACCATATATGAAATTTATGAAACGTGATCTTACGGTACTTGTAAGATTACCGGGACTGAACAAAAAAGTTAGTTGTTCTTGTCTATTTGTAATTGTGTTAAGACATACATATTTTCGCAACTTAAGAACTTAAAAATAGGGATTTTAATTAATTATAATAATATCCCTGAGACCAGTAGTTAAAAGGTTTATCAACTGAGCTTTATAATTGCTTTATAATATGTAATATATAACATTTATAGTTAATATTGAATTTAATATTATTACAAGCAGTTTTTAACAGAGCGGTTCTCATTGGCTGAGAGCGGGGATGCAACAAGTAGGTGCTCAATATAAAAGCGGGACAGGATATGTGCTGTGAGGTCCCTGTAAGACCACTTTAATGGCCACGCTACTATAAAGTTATAAGCTTCTTTAAACCCACTCTGCAAACACTACTCTTGTTTCCTTGAAGGAGTAAATCTGAAGGTAGTAAGATATTTCAACAAATGGATGTTAAACAGAAGTACTTTTTTTTTTTTTTTTAATAAAGCAATAGAATTTTCTTAAATACCTGTAAATGTACATACGTTATTATTATCAGATTTATATACCATCGCACTTTTCAATTGCCTATTGAAAAGAAAATTTATTTATCTATTTTACGAATTTATACAGTTAATGGCAATTACGTATTGCCGGTATCAGGTATGGTCCTCGAAGAGATCGGCCTGTTGCTGTTCCATCATGAATTCTTCAAGACTAACCGTACAACTGAAACGCAACATTCACACAACTTCTGCATTACACAGCAATTGTTTCTTCCTTGCCATACAGCAGTACTTCAAGTAGTTTTCCTGGTAGTCCTTTAAAATTACATTTTAGCAATGATATACACAATACTTAGCCCTGATACTGATACCGGTGGAGGGAACTAGTCTGATAAGTGGGTCACATGGTCCTTTATGGTAACCACATACGGGTATCTTGTCGTTTCTGTCGCGTACTTACCAGAGTGAGAATGGCAATATACATTTTCCGGCGCTGCCGAAATGTGAAAATCAACTGATTCAGGTAGGAATTGAATCCAAAACGTTCAGAACCGGGCAATCTGGGACCCACTCGGCAATCTTGCCATCACAATATCTAGCAACAAGTCTATACATATAACTTTTAAATATTCATCTTATACATAATTGTTATTTCTTTATTTATGATATTCATAACTTTATTAGTATAAATACATCAAGTAAGTGTGTATAGAGGAATTTAATCACATAAACACGCTTGTTGAGAAGCTACCCATTGATAGCACTCTAATAATATGCCTACATATGAGATCTCGAGGCCATCTTCTTTTCAGACTCAAGGGGGGGGGGTGAGCAGGAAGTGGAAGCAACTTTAGAAACAAGAGGATTCAGATGGTTATGAAGTTTAATATGGAAGGATAGGTATCTGGATTGGGCCAAATTGGAATCATATAGAACATTAAGTTCTTTAGGGATTATTTTCTTTATGACAAAGTAAGGAACATTGAGAATTTTGGATTGTATGGATTGGATACGAGAGGAATTAGATGGTTTAGTGGAGCCCCGTAGCTCAATTCCGTAAGTCCAAATAGGTCTTATTATAGTCATGTATATGAGTAATTTGTAATTAATTGAAATTTCAGAGCGTTTTTTCTAATAAATAAAAAACCTTTTAGATCTGGAGCCGGGGCCGAAAAAGACGTAGTATTTTTTTTTTTTTAAATTCAACCTGACATGCTGATAGTACTCCTTTTAAATGCTCATATGCCTGTTCAGACAGGTTGATTTAAGATTTTAGGGGCATTTGTACCCATCAAAAAGTTTAAAATGTTGGGGCATTTAATGACAATTTTCTCTAATTCGCGTTAAGAAACAATTTTGAATAATAGGTCATTAGAATTCTGCAGTTTCCAGATCTGAATTTTAGCTCCTGAAATATTTTAATCCGTATCTTCAATAAAATCCGTTATCAGTTGGTTTTCGACACTATTCCTTTTTGATTTCTCAACACGGCGTTGCGTTAAGTTACAAAGACGATGAAATACTGAACATTTCTTTTTCTTACATTATGCAGGTCTGAATTTAGTTTCTGAGATCTTTTAATCCATAGGCGCGTTTTGTGAGTGAGCCAGTTTGTGATTTTGCATATGATTAACTTATCTCAGAAACTAAAATTCGAATCTGTATACTGTAGGCTAGGAAAATGTTCAGCATTCCATCCTCGTTCTAATGGAAATATTATTGAAAATTGTACCTTAAAGCTACCAAGGAAAATTTTTCATAAAGTGCCTTAATATTTTAAACTTTTTTTTCGGTTCAAGTGCCATTAAAACCTTGAGCTGGTAGACGAGCATTTTCGTTATACCTAAAAGAAGTACTGTCAGCCTGTTAGGGTGCAAATTTGTTTAAAATGCTACGGCTTTTTCGGCTCTGGTTCCAGGTCTATTATAATTGTTAAGTAACTGAATGGTGTGTTATTAAAATCTAAAAGCTGCCAGTTTCACACCTCTTACGATGAAACATCAGATGTTTGGAGTCTTTTGTAAAACATGACATTAAGGTTGGGAAACGCAATTTTTGTGAAGCGTTTAGTTGAGAAGAAAGCTTGAGTTGAAACAAATCTTAGGATAGGACTGTAAGAGTCTCTTGTTACTGACCGTCACACATGAACTGATTCAGAAACTGCTCGCAAATTTTTCTGTGCGCTGCTTCTGGATGCGCGGTGGGCCCACTATCGGTGACTATCAACTTCTTTTACCAAAATAATCCCCGAAGAACGTTGAGACTTTGCTCAGCGTAGCACAATTTTTGTGACATGTTCATTATTTAGGAATAGCGCAAATCGAGAGGAAACCTAGGACAGTATCTGTTGTGGCCCACTAGTGAACTGATGTGACTCCAGCGTTTTTTTTAATGCACTGACCTGGACTGTACTGCGCTGCGTCTCAATGAGCACCGGGTCTCACTTTATGTAACCTCGATTGGTTTATATATCAGTAATAAAAGTGAAATAGAAGTACTGAGATAAGGGGAAGATATCAGCTTTGAACACCCCAAAGCACAAATTAAAAAAAAATGTGTTGAAATTGGAATATTTATGGAATTATTTTTAAAATATTTGATGTCATCTTATTACAAAAATAGGTAAACCAAAAATGTTATCGATCTGTGGGCTGAATTTATGAGATGATGTGAAATGTTGTTGGATTAACCCTACTTTTCAAAAAAGGTAAACGAAACCACCAAACCTTGTTAGATTACAAAAACATTAATGAATATAATGTAGTTGGAAGAATTAAGGAAAAACTTGTTTTTTTTCTTTCTGGCGAGCATCACTAATGACACTCGAGACCAGAATGAGACAGAGGATCCAACGGACTGAGAACAATAGCAGGACACTGGGACTTAATGAAGACCCCAATTAAGGGACTTAGTGTGAGGAGGTCCGCACCAATATCCACCGCCTGCTTCGTTACCGACCATTTACTGATTTCGATTTGAATTCAGCTGTCAAATAGACTTAGGACGGGCCGTCCAACTCCCAATAGAGTAAGCCGGCGTAGTCAGTCATTATCTTACCAACGGCTTTAGTTATCATTTATAAGGGGATGTTCAGTTTAGGAATACATCTGCTTCTTATAATCGAAACAACAAGATTATAGGGAGAATTACACGCTGATAGGTCCATCAAACGATCTTAAATGTATGTAAAATTAACAGAGAAAATATTTATAAATACTGTGTACAGATAGAGGAACATACAAAGAAAATCAAAATTCAACAAATAACCATATTATTATTATTATTATTCAGTTAGCAACCAATCAAGTTAAGAAGATCAAAAGTGATAAGTAAAAATTCCTGAAATATTCTATGTTTAGAATACTTCTTTAGAAGATAACAGTTATGCATGAAGATTCATTAAATGACTATTAGGTTGAGAAGAACATACTCCTCTGATACAAGGCTAGGACTGCAAGAGGCAAATCGTCCGTGCTCTCGCACAACTCTTCTCGATTTATCTGAAACAGAAACAAAAATTTTATTGTTGTGAACAATTGAAGGAATATAATTTTCAATTCTATCTAAATGACTTTAAGTAAAAGTCATAGAAATGGAAAATAAGAAAACTAATTGTGGTGAAGTCATTAGTTACCCTTCAATAGCTCTCCTAATGAAATATTTTAGGATCAGATTTTTTAAACTCTTCGGAGACTGGACGATAACATAATATTGGACATCCAGAACCACCTTACCAGAAATTCATAACGGAAGAGAAAATAAATAAATATTTCATAAAAAATAATCAAGATCATCAATTTGAAAGTATTTTTTTGGAAAATAATTTGAAAATATACTTATGAAATATGGAATTGTTAGGAAATATCGGAAACGATTATCCGTGTAGATATAGATATTTTTGGCTGAAAGATCGCAGTAATAAGCATCTACGGTCCTGGTAATAGTGAACCCCCGCAAGTGAAGGATGAATTCGAAGAGGATTTCAGGCTCGTGCTGGAGAAGATAAATGGGAACGAAGAAGTCACCATTCTTGAGGATTTCAATGCACGAGTGGGTCACCAAGTAGGAAGCAGAGTTGTCGGAAAGAATGGAGAGGCTCAGATTACAGACAACGGAAAGAGGCTCATCGATGTTTGCGAAGCGTTCAATTTGCAGATTCAGATCAAATTCTTTCAGCACAAGCCCATACACCAATTCACATGGAGTAAGCCTGGATTCCAATCGTCTATACTGGATTATTGCATCAACAGACAAAAATCAAGTTGTAAAGTGGAAGATGTGAGGGTGTTCAGGGGTTGGGAATGTGGAACTGATCACTTTATTCGCCGGACCAAGATTCTTTTCCCGTGGAAAGGTGGACGGGGTCTAAAACAAGGACGCTGCAAAACAGAGAGTATCACCTTACCAAAATACAAACTATATCTCCCTACGGAGGACAGTGTTGGGATGTTATACCGAAGCAGACTAGAGGAAAAAAAAGATCTGAGCCAAGGAAGCAATCTTTTGGAAAAATATGAACACTTAAGGGAGTTCTTACACGCAGCAGCCTAACGGAGACGTTAGGGTATGATGGAAAGAAACAACAACCAGATTGGTGGTCTGAGTAGGTTTCGGATTTGGTGGAGACCAAAAAAAGCCTGGGTTGCCTAAAGAGCTCTGAACAAACGTGTAAAGGAGGAAGTTGTAAAGGAGAAGAATAAATTCTGGTAGAGATGCTGCCAGAAAATAGATGGAACACTGGGCTTCAATCGAGTACGAAAAGCTTGGAATATTTGAGGAGCTTGAGGGCACCACGTAAGGGCAATGTTATCTCTTCTATCGGTGAGGACACATGGAAAAAGCATTATGAGACCTTCCTTAACGAAAGTAGAGAAAAGTTTATGGCACAAGAGGGCAACGCACAGAAAGACTGCAAGCCGGACCATATTCAAGTAACGGAAGAAGAAGTGAAGGCTGCTATAGGCAGAGCTAAAAGCGGAACAGCTCCAGGATCTGGGGCCTAGTATATGGAACTTTTAACGGCCGGTGGAGATAAGATGCTTGCACTCCTTACCAATGTGACGAATATGGTCCTAAAAGAGTGTGATCTGCCTGATGATTTCCGAACAGGATACCTCTGCTCCATCTTTAAAAAAGGAGATAGGAAGCAATGCGAGAATTATCGTGGTATCTGTGTACAGCACATCCATGGTACAAGCAATTCAATACTTGTATAGAAGCGATCTGTACAGAGTGAAGATTGGGAAACGCCTCTCCTAACCATTTTCTGGAACCAAAGGGCTGAAACAGGGGTGTTGTATGTCTTCAAGCATTTTCAAGATATACTTGGATAAGGTAGTGAAGCAATGGATGAGACGAAGTCGAGACTACGGAGTGTACTTTGACGACGATGAGCTCTTTACCCTGTTCTTCGCAGACGATCAAGTAGTGATCACCTGGAAGAAAGTTTTCCTGAAGATGGTGGTTGTCCAATTAAAGAAAGTTTATGAAGAGGCAGGTCTCGGGATAAACTTTCAAAAGACTGAGTATATGGCACTAGGAGATGAGGAAGACGATCGATTCATCGGTGAACAGGTATGTAGAAAGGTAAAGGCATTTAAATAACTCGGGTCCTATCTGGATGATATTGGAACGTCCGAAGTGGATGTCCGAAACAAGGTAGAGATGGCAAGAAAAGCTACTAGAATGCTGCATCCTGTTCTCTGGAACGACACTATTTCAAACGCGAACAAGCGGCGTATCTTCGCGGCTATTGTCGAGTCCATATTAGCCTACGGATGTGAGACATGATCGATGAATGCTGGTTTTTATGCCAAAATTCAGACTGTAGAAAATGATTTTTGGTGGTGTCTACAGTTAACGAGGCTGGACAGAGCCCGAAGTGAAGTGGTGAAACACATAATAGGTGTAGAGAAAACCGTCTCTGAGAGGATAGGGAAACGGCGATTGAGGTGGTATGGGTACTGCAGGAGAATGCCGGAAGAGCATTGGCCGAACAGAGTCTTGGACTGCCAGCCACCCGGAAAGCGTAGGCGAGGACGACCGAGAACCATGTGGATGGAAGGAGTCCGAGAAGAGATGGCCGACCGAGGTCTACAGGAGGGTGACTGAGAGGATAGAGATATGTGGAGCTCTGCTCTGACCTGAAGAGGTATCCCCACGTTGGAACACCGGAAATAAGTAAAGTAAGTAAGTACTTATGGAGGTACTTATGATTTTGTTTTGTTTACTTCAAGAAAAAAAAATGTGCTAGATGTTATGAAACTCTGGTATGAATAGCGTTGCCCAAATGCGGGACTGAGACGAGTCTTGGTCCTGCAAACTCAGTCATGGTCTAGGTCTAGTTCTTGTGCAAGACTCTCGTAACAGTCTTGCAGTTGTCTATTACCTTATTATTAGAGAGCTATTACTATTTTGCCTCAATTTTTATTCAAAAAATCGATTTTTTTTTTTACCAATCTTGTTCTTGGTCTTTCAACAGATTTTGAGCAACACTAGGTATAACTAGACCAAATGTGTATCTCTCTGGTCCTCTATCGATGCTTTATTCATCTTCTACTCTCCTTCGTTTTCAAAATAACACTATTGATCTCAGAATGTCAGTTCTCCACAAGCTACAGTTGCTACACAGAAATCTATCGGATAAAGCCAAGACTGGTATATAGACTGATATACTGGTATAGTGGTATATTTCGATATAGCAAAGTTTTCGGAACAAACAAATCAACGAACGATGCATTTTTAATAAAACGATTTAGAACAACTTGAATGTACTAATATGATCACCATCACCAATAGTGAATACGTTTGAAAAAGACAAGCTAAGAAGAAGTGATCATTCCCAGAACACAGGGAGGCTTACTCTGTTCGGGAAGAAAAAAATGCATATTAGTCGTCAATGCTGTTGTATTGTAATGTATAGGCTGTTGTATTGTAATGTGAAATCAAATTTTATCGCATTTAGTTTTTCGTATTCATGATTATTTCCTTTCCCACTTCAATAAATTACAATTAACCTCAAAATTTTGTGCTCTTGGTGAGAGAAGGTTCTAACTACATTTACCATAATTTTGAGAAACAGAGCTTCAAAATTACAATTTGTTGTAGTATAAATATTCTGTTACTTAGGCTAAAAATTTCGTTTGTACAATAACTTGAAGCAGACTTCATATCATCTATTTCACCGTCCTCGAAAACCATAAATGTTTTTTTGTTGGAAATAACCAATCCTATGGTTTTATATTAGCCTAGTCAAAGTAGACATCTTATCTTGCAAAAATTATTCAAATTTCTTTTTTATATTCTTAGGTGTGTAGTGAATATAAAAAATCCAAGTTTCCGCACTTGACGCTAAATAGTAAAAAATGTGATATAATGATAGATAAAAAATAGTTACATTAATTTTTTTTTCCAAATCCTATGGTAGCGAACTATCTAGCTTGTATCTCGAACTATCGAAAAAATGTTATGTAGATAAATGTCAGATAATTTTAAGCTGTTTAAGATTGAACATAACCATTTTTTATACATGTCGCTCTAAAAAGGAAATATTTCGCATAAATTAAAAAAAAATGTTCGAAATTTCAGTGGTTTTTGGAGGACTGCAGGGAACAAAAGTCTTTCAAGGGCGGATACTTGATTTTTTTATGTTCACTACATATAGAACAATATAAAAAATAAATTTCAATTACACGATGTTTTGCAAGCTAGAACCCTTTTTTGTACTAATTTGACTGGGCTTTATAGTTGTTATCCTGATTTTTTTAGGTTTTTCTTAGAATATTTGTATTTACATGAATATAATTTTTATCTGGCTATATGGAGGTACTTATGGTTTTCTGCTTAATATTTCTTACTTTATTTACTTCAAGAAAAACAAAATGTGTTAGATGTTATAGGATATTTCAACTACAAAAAAACAAAACAAAAATCGTAAATAAAAATAATCATGCCCTATGTTAAACTTTTCAAATAGTACTATTGATTATTTGCCGATTAATGATTTACAGGTTTAGTTTCAACATATTCACCAAGAACGTATCTCATTCGCAAAGTCCTAGGATATGGACGACACTCTAACCATCGAAGACTTTCTGGAAGATTCAAGGAGAGCATCAACCCGATGATGCGATGGATATCATCAGATGAGTACTGCGCATATCAGCTGATGTCTACTATCACAAGATTGATGCAGTAGCTGGTTCAGTGTATTCCCCACGTTTTTCGCTAGTTTTCCATCCAACCCTGTAACTGGTGGCGTTCATTCTGTTAAAATATTCGTACTAGTCCTGTTGTACGTATCAGTTAGTGAATTAAATGCCCATTTCAATAATCTTCTTTTTTTTATTGTCTGGAATAGCATTCTATAAAAACAAGATAAATTGTTTTTAAAAATCTTTTGAATATATTTTAGCTAAACGAGAAGGTCGAGATTTAAGCTTTATTTTTGGTATGAAGTACTAGTCCGTGGTACAGACCCCTTTTTATAGAATTATTAACATCCTCCTGAAACTTCGTAAATAGTTTAATTTTATCGTAACCTACAACTATTTTATTTAAGAAACCTCTTGGAATTGGGGCGTTTCAATCTGGAGGGAGGCAAACTTCGTCTATTTAATTAGGTACTAAAAACTCCTAAAATACATTTACTCCTATACCTATTTTGTTGCTTCTTTTTTTATTTTGTAGGGTTTGGACTAATGATGCCTGTGGCATAAATTCGGTGCTCCATGCGCAATAGCTTGCGCGCAATAAATGAAAAACATGTTTTTCTATAGACTGTAGCGCAAAAACGGCTCTAACGATTTTGATGAAACTTTCCTATAATGTTCTAATAATTTTCCTGTGAATTTTCGTATATAGACTATATTCCCGAGAAAATACAGAAAAAAAAGTTATAAAGAAAACAAAAATATTATGGGGCCTAACTTCGTAAGTATATATTATACGATAAAATTCATAATAAAACTTTTAAAAGGTAATTAAATTATCAACGCCGTTTAACATGTTTTTTGAAAGGTGGTGAAATTTCCTACAAAACTTTATAAAAATCGTTCATTTTAGACAACTAATAACGCAATTACTTCTATTCAATTTCCAATGTAAAATTACGGGTTCATATCCTAGTGTCAGAAAGGGGTGAATGTGAGGAAAAAGATTACAGACTAAGTGAAAGTAAGGAAATCTGTTGCCCGCATCACACAATCTTCACTATTTCCTATACTTTTAACAGAAAATATTGTTTGACAATACTAAGCTATGGCAAAAAGTTTTTGATCAGCAATATTAGAGAGTATTGAAATTTTTACACTGATCTACCTTAAGCTGGTTTACATTGCTTTAATTTATCAAATAAATCGTACTCAAATCTTTTCTTTGATCAATTTTCAGGAAAATAAAACTAGTTCAATTTTTTTTTGTTTCTTCATGCAAAGACAAAAAAACTTTTCTGAAATAGGTAGGAAGGTAGTGTGAGTGGACATACCAGATGTTTGTAATTTCTATTATTTTTGTAATTGTATATGTTGTATGAATGAGTTTCTCACATCGCAAATACTCAATGCCCTTGATGGAGGCAAAATATATTTTTTCTCAATAAGAAAAAAAATCCATCAAGATTCACTGTAATTTTTTAGTGTAAGCCAGTGTTTCATTTAATTTAATTAAGAAGATAAAGTAAATGCCCTCATTCCACTCAGGATAATCCTTATTTCATTCGGAAAAATAGATTTTAACAGCCATTTGGATGCCAGGTCCTATGGGAATGTATTTTATATATTTCTTTTTAATCTGTATTATCCAAAAATCTTTTGTTTCAATGATTAATCTAAATAAAGGGATTCCAAATAATTTCAATATGAAAAAGAATTCGGAACAGTGAATAATTATTCAAAAAAATAAAAAGAGGAAAAATAAGCAAAACAGGAGAGAATCCCTGCCCTCTTTAAGGGCGTAGTTCTCAGAAATTAAAGGATTCTGGGTTGGAAAAGTTTGTTGATTCTCTCGGCCCGAGTTATCCCTAGGTCACTTTTATGAACTATTTCATGCATTTTTTTTCTTTTATATTTAATTATGTTTTGTTAACGTTTAGCTTAGATGTCCTGTTTTTTATAAATATACGCATATATAATGGATGTGGTCATACCTCACTATAATTATTGTCTATGTGACAGAATATTATAAATCCAATAAATAAATAAAAAAAGATGTCCTGTATATCTAAAAAAATAGTGGAAAGTTCAACTCGATAATTCCTTGGTCTTCCTATGATTATAGTTAACACAAACCGGTACTTGTGAGCGAGGTGGCCTCTATGGACTGCTATCTGCAGTTATCTTGTTATTTAAAGTGTTCTTGTTATTTATATTTCTTATTATTAAATGTTTATAACCTGAACACTGATAATTGTTATAAGGCACTGATAATCCGACTCGTGTAATAGACTCCGAGATAATAGACTCGTGTAATCACAAAATATTTAAACAAAAGTTTTAAAGCTTTTTTTTTTATTTACATCTTTTTTTGACTACAACGCCGTTTTCAACACAGGAAACATTAAGAGGGTTTGTAAGATTTAGAAATCTAGGAGTATATTGTAGATAACTGTCTCGACGCTTCCATTCTCGGATATTATTCCTCATAGGTTTTTTCTGTCTGTTGAGTTAATCGGCATTTCTGCACAGTCCAGTCAAGTCTCTTGTAACTGTACCAGCATCTTCAAGCAGTAGAAGGTCGAAAGGCACTCCTCCCGCTAATACCTACACCGCCTCGTGAGAAACAATCTTACATGCCTTAGATACTCGCAGCAATTCCATTATCCGTATCTTCACCTACCTTCTTTTGTGAGAGGATACGATTCCATACCTCATAATACACTCATCTAAGCTGCATCCAAGAACCTTCTTCTGTTTCTGTTCTACCCTCCAAAACATATAGGACTAGTTTCCATAGGACCGTGCCGCAGATTGATTTATATGGACAGTTACCTGGAGGAAGGTACCTCTTTTAAAGTTTAAAGCAGCTACTAAAACGGCCGCCATCAGACTTATTTTGAACCTACTAGTAAAGTTTATATTATATATTGTTTACCTCGTCAATTGCCCTACCGCCGAGCTCGCCTGGACCAAGGCAAGTGGGCTCCATATCCCATATTTTGTCTTTGTTGTCCTTCAGCCATCTGAAAAGAAGGGCAGTAAGATATTTAAGTAAAAAAAAAAAAACTGGTGTTCACATCACATGACTTTCACTTACCACCCTCTTCTTAGCAGAAATAAGTATTTCTAGACAAAGGGGAAGTGAAAGTAAAACTTATAGACGCTATACTTATTTACATTTCATTGTGGGCCGTATTTGTTTAATTATCCTTATGTATACAAATTATATTTTTTTTATCGCAGTAATCTGTACAATTAAATATTAAATAATACCAACGATAGAATATATGTAAGATGTATATATATATATATATATATATATATTATATATATATATATATATATATATATATATATATGTACATGTTATTATCGGAGTTCGTACGATATTAAGCTCATGTTACATATGGAAGCCTGTTATAATCTTTCGGGCGAGCTCGGGTGATCTCGGGTCTGCTCGTATTCTTTTGGTTCCCCATTTCAACCATTATTCGTTATGATATTTTATTTCTGCTTTAGTTAATTATCAAATTCTCTCATATTTTATATTTAACTATTTTTTATGTTATAGATTAATGTGAAACGGTTAGTTATTTAAAGTAAAAAAAAAAAACTGGTATGCCCATCACACGACATTCACGTACCACTCTCTTCTTATCAGAAATAAGTATTTACAGACAAAGGGGAAGTGAAAGTAAAAATTATAGGCGCTATACTTATTTACATTTCATTGTGTGCATTCGTATTTGTTTAATTATCCTTATGTATACATTTTTTACATACTATTTTTTATATTATAGATTAATGTGAAACGGTTGATTATTTAAAATAAAAAAAATTAAAGGTACTTTAGAGGAAGCTTATATTGAAAATTAGCCTTTTAAGCCCTGTTAGAGAACATCAATGAGAAAAAAAAACTACATTCTTTTAAAAACTGCTTAATATTACATTTTTATCTGATATACTGAGTTTAATAAAAATCTTAATAGTGCTATTTTTGAGAAAATCGTAAAACTGTGTTAAATCAATTAAATAAAATGAAACTTCCGGTAAGTCGATTTCGAAGAAATAGCTGCAGTGACATCCAAGGTATATAAAAACCTTAAATATGCAATTTCACTTTTAAAGAACTTTTGGTTTTTGGTTGCACGCACCCACGCACGCACACACAGACCATTTTGCGGGACTTGGATATTTGGATTCGGGAGACCTTAAAACACTTATTTCCGTTGAAAACTCAGATTCAAAAATGTTCACAATCGCAATACTTACCCTTACTGTATATTGCATTTATTGCTAATATATATACACTGTTAGTCATAAAAACCGGCGCACCTTAAATTTTGTCATTATTTCTTTCTCAACAGAAAAAAATGCAATTTTTTAAAGCTTAATATAATGTGACGTATTCTGTTTTTATGAGAGATATCGGTAAGTGAAAGTAAAATATATATAGGCTGTTGGTCATAAAAACTGGCGCACCTTGAATTTTGTCATTATTTCTTTTTCAACAGGGAAAAAAATGCAATTTTTTTAACCTTAATATAATGTGACATATTGTGTTTTTAGGAGACCAAAGATCAAGGGGAAAAACAACTAAAATTCATTATCATTTCTCATTAGCTCTTATTTCTTCAAAAGTGGTACAAATCGATATGTTGTACACATTTAGAATCGTCACAATGAGAGCTTAGGGACATAAACATCGTAATGGAAATTGTTTCCCTACAACGACAGATATGCTCAAAAATATTAATTTATATATATATTTTTTTTAGTCAGGCTACAATGTTCGATTGCTGTAATAGAGTAGTTAGGAAAGTATGTCTTAAAAGGGTACTAATGATTTTAAAGGTAATTATTATTAATATTAATATAACGTAATAATCATAAAATTATTGTTTTAGATGCAGCAAATTCAGCAACCAGTCCTTACAAGTAATTTTTAAAACTGAAAGTGCGTTGTATAATGCGGTGCTGTAAATCTGTCAGCTACAACTCAGATCCCAGTTGCAAGCATAAAACTAACTGACTTTTTAACTCGGTCCTTAACGAGTTTTAAAGTTAATTAACAAGTCCTTTCCTCTCTACCTTAGCATTTGTCTGTCCCAGTTAAGAAAATAAAAGAATCTAAGGAACCTTTCTAAAGGATCTTATAACTGTTCCTGGTTTATTGAAGGAATATTGTCCAATTATTGTAAGTTATTTATATATTTATTTACATACACAGTGTTTTAGTAATCACATATTATATCATATGATTATTATATCTCATGAATCAAAGCAGCAACTCAAACATTATAGTGGTTTTTCAAGTTAATCTTATGTTGGTTATTTTGTGATTGAATAATCTACCCTCAAATTAAATGTTTGATTTTTTTATTTTATTCACATTTTATGTTTTGTAATATTTTAATATTAATGTTATAATATATTAATATTAATATTAATTTTAATGTAATAGTTTTGTAATGGTTTCTAGTAATCAAAGAAGTGATATTATATAAGAAAAAGATAAGGTGAAATAAAAAATCATCTAAATTAATGTAGTGCGAACATTTAGTTTAAATGATCTATTTAAGAATAAATTTAAAATAATGGTGTGTGATTCACATGTATCCTGATCAAAGGTGAAAATAAAATAAAAATAAATGAAAAATGTATAAGGCAATTCATTCATAATATGACAACTATAATTATTATAGAACTTAAAATGTTCTATAAGTGTATAGAATATTTTGTTCATTTTTATTGATTCGGGTTTTATACTACAGATAATTGTCTGTTAGGACTTCTCTTTAAGACGATTCTTTCTTGATGTAATGAGATGCTCGATCCGACTGTCCCACTCACATTAGTTGCATGCCTAGAAGAATTGCCACCAGAATTTCCATTGGTAGTCCTGGTATTTGGTGGATTTTATTAAATTTATAAATAAAACCAATGACCCTCTGAAAATTAACAGATGGAATTTAAAATGCCCTGACTGGACGAAATATAATGTGCACAATATATTGATTCTATGTTACTAACTAAACTTCCAATTTTTAAAACGGCTAACATAGATGAATTAGAAAACATATACGTTTTCTAGGAAATAAAAATAATTAAAATTAGACCATAACACCAAAACTACGATATAAATTGTTTTTTTTTTTGTCTAGAACTGGACTCTAGTAGTGATAAAATTTTTACTTAGTTAAACAAGTTATCCATAGCTAGATGTGGAACAATTGCTGTAGTTAGATAAACAAACAGCCTCGTAAAGTTCTACGGTAGACTAAACGCTAGTTCCAGAGTCCCTGTTAGAAATCACTTTATTGCCCTTGGTTGTAACCTAGGCCATTTTGAGTCAACCAAATCCTCTGACCCAGTGACATAAAATTAAAGATTGTAAATGTGATATTCGACCAGATCTTGAGTTGTTAAGGAACAAATTCTTGCTATAACATCCTTACAGATGGTTATAGAATTGAATTGCTCAATTGGAGTATAAAGTTAGTTTTTTGATATGTCTTTATTTTCAAATATAAATAATTGAAATTTCGCAGAAATTAACCTCACATATGATACCATTGGCCGATTAAATTACTTCCGTTATAATGGACAGTTGAGGTCTACAATTATCTTGTTCTCTTATAACGAGAAAAAGTCGAATCATCCAAAAGAAGTTACATCTGAGTTTTCAACAGAAATACACGTTTTAAGGTACCTTGAGTCCTAAAAACCAAGTTGTACAAAATAGTCTGTATGTATGTGAACAGACTAACTAAAAACCGAATAGCCGCACGAAACTGAAATTACGTATTTAATATTTTTCTTAAAATCGCCTAACCGAAAGTTTTATTTTATATTATCGATATTACAAATTTTTACTGTTTTCACAAAAACAACTCTAACTATTTTGATTATATTCTGTTTATCAATGAACAATTAAATGACCAATGATATCAGAAAGTAACAGTCTCCCATCGTTGTTAGTAATGAATAAAAAAAAAAAAGTGAATATAAAATATCTGATAATTTAATTATTGATTAAATAAAAATATGCTTAAACATGTTAAAAAAAGAATACTTTTAAATTGCACGTACGTTAAAGGAAGTTTAACATGAGTATAAAACAGTCTTGTAAGATGAATTGAGATTTGTTCTAGAAAATTGAGATTGTTTGTTTTAGACAAATTCCTTTGATCCATTTAGATCGGCCAATAAGTGGAGGGAGATGGGTTAATTCGAGGTTTGTTGTTTTAGATGTTAGTTAATATACTTTTTCAGGAGTATATGTATACATATATATATATATATATATATATATATATATATATATATATATATATATATATATATATATATATATAATATATATATATATATATATATATATATATATATATATATATATATATATATATATATATATATATATATATATATATATATATAATTTTTTTTTTATTTAATTTTTTTATTAACGATTTAAATAGTTCATATTGCTCTCTCTCTCTCTACTTGTTTACTATTATTATATATATATTTTATCGTTAATTTGATACAACCTTACGTTTGGTCGGTTATTATTTAAAGTAGGCAGACAATGGACACACCTTGCGGCGGACAAATAAAATTCGAAGCATAACAACACATTGTTATTTAATTTGTTCTGATGTTTTGAGATGCCCTTAACAAAGACTAGGAAATTTTCTTATTAAGTTTTCTTGTGCCGTCTAATTTAATCAGTAGTCTTCAGTTTAAGCTATTCTGGAGCTTTTTGTACGTATTTTCACCTGTGTGGCCGTTTTTGTTTACTAAAAAGTTGAATAGTCGCGTATTGCAGGATATCAAAAAATTTGATATGCATGCATGTTATTAAACAGGTAATTCTGTAGCTCTAAGGGTTGTGCTGTTGGTCAGTATTAATCCTCAGTAATGAAGTTTGTCTCGCAATACGTCCCAGCACTCCGTTCTGAAACTGATGGAGCATATTTGCCGTTGAGACTATTTGATAGCAACAGCGCCCCACTAAGAGGGCCGGTCTAGAAACGCATTTATTAAATAATAATTTAAGGTAGAAGGATAGATACAATATTTTAATAAAATTATAGGAACCTGCATAATTTTATAGTCCAGGATACAAAAATAAGATCAAATGATATAAACAAAATATTAATAAAAGAACTTACTCCGCAAAATCTGCTAAAGTGCAATCACAATGCCAGGGATTCTTGGTCAGCTTGACAGCGCTTAGGTTTGTGTTCTGGCTGAAGACCGCAGGTGCCATATGACTCAGCCTATTACCGCCCAGCTGTCTGTTTCAATTCAGATTATTTATCATTCTAACATTTTACAATAACAAGAAATAATAATTTTGAAACATGCGTACTCAATGTCGCATTGCTAAGTTCATGCCAGTTATTTTATTTTTTTTTTAAATTTATTTATGAGTATTACAACAATCTGTCTCTTGGACATTGGTTATAGTGATGTAGAGTAACATTCTCACAATATGTACAAAAAATACAAAATAAATAGAAGCAAAACAATAATCAAATGTATATACAATAAATAAGAAAATAAAATAATTTAAAAATAAGAAAATTAAAACTAAGCAAAAAAACACATGCATACCTATATACAATCAGGCAAGGAATCTCCAGGAGAACCCTGCGCTACTCTTTCAACCACATCACTGGCACTAAATCCAGCTATTAATGCCAGGTATTAAAATTGAAAAATTTATGGAATAGTCGATGGTGGAACATTGTATAATGTTGAGGAAGCGGAGTGCCGCTCATAAAAATATTTAGAATAGTTCTAGCCCTGAAGCAGACCTGTATAGTTGAGTCGAAACGTAGGCTTCTGTATAATTATCTACACTATGTATGATACGGTAGTATAGATCCCTTTCCCGGCTCTCAGAAATGAATGAAATTTGATGAATGAGTTATCGAACGGATCAGAATTGACGAATACAATTTAAAACTCAGAACTTCACTACAATTAAAATGAAAGACATTGACAAAATTGGGAAGTTTCTAAAATCTGATGTTAACAAAATATGCCTCATTGAGACGGGATAAATTGTGTTTTAAATGTATATATATGTATCAAATGTATCGTTTTTGAGATAAAGAGTTATTTTTATTGAAAACCTCTCAGGTGCAATGGTTGCCATGGGATTCTTATCACATGTTTAGATTTTATACTTTATATAATTAATTTATATATATATGGTAGTCTACGACAAAATAAATATGTGTTAAGGTAAAAAGTAAACCAAGAAGGAGAACAGCTCTATGATCGCATTGGCACTTTAAATAATATAGAAATGAACTTTTTGGTATTGTTAATGAATAAATGAAATAATCAGGTTTTATACTCTCAGTGATTACTTGTCAAGTAATTTGTTCCTTTAATAGCTATTGTATTTTAACTAACTCTGACAGTGTAATAGACTATCTTGATAATATTATATTGTATATTTCAATTCGAATACAAATAATTCATCGATGAATTTAAATCAAATGCATTCGGATTCGAATGTTGATGTGTAAGGCCACTGAAAATGTACGGTTGTGAAGTGTGTGTGGACAAAACGAAAAAAATACAAACCTTCCAAAATAAGATCCTGAGAATTATATTAGGTTGGCAAATAAGTCCTTTAGATTGTTTTGTTTATTTTTCTGTTAGTATGATACACTTCTTATCTGATGAATTAATCCCTAAGGTGGATTGTTTATCCTGTTTGCAATATGTCAACAACTTTATATGTTACTATTGTTGAAACTAGCTTATGGTGTTTGCTACTGCACTGTGAATATGGAAGAAAATATCAGTTATTATCGGAATATTGTTGTATTATTAAAAAAAAAAATAAGCGTGCATAGAAAAATTGGCAGTGCTTATGGGGATGATACTTTAACCGAACGCACCTGTAAAAATTGGTTTGACAAAATCCATTTAGGAAATTATGACATCAATGATGCTCAACGGTCTAGTCGCCCACCTGAAATTGAAACGAGCAATGTTAAGTCCATTGTTGATCAAAATCCCAGTGCGAGAGATTGCTATGGCGCTAAATGTGTCGTACACAAGCGTAGAAAACCATTTGTACAAGCTCGGTTATGTTTCCAAGATTTATTTTTGGGTTTCTCACAAGATTTTTTTTTTGAAAGTAAGGAAAAAAATGTTACAACTTCAATACGATTTTAGCTATCCAGAATGAATTTAGCAGGAATTTAGAGGCTCATAAACTACACAGAACGACATCAACAGGACCTTCGTAAACAAGCCACAAATGGAGATAAAAATTAAAAACCTATAAGGAGTTTTTGTTATTTATTCCTTATGTAGTTGTTATATAAAAAAAACATTCATACGGCTTTGATGATCAATAATTCAGTTTCCAACGGATATAGTAACATCGAATTTGTAGAACATCCTGAAGAGTTATGAATGATCGGAAGGGTGTTGTGTTCCACCAAGACAACGCTAGGCTCCACACCTCATTGGTCACACGCAATAAATTATTGAGCCTTGGATGGGATCTTTTGCACCACCCTCTCTATTCACAAGACTTAGCTCCGAGTGACTACCACTTATTCCGGTCTCAGCAGAGCTCCATGAATGGAAATAAATTCCAAAAGGAAGAGGGCATAAAAAAACACATTTGATCAATTTTGTAACAATAAACTCATAGACATTCTATGAAAATGGCATTATGTAGTTAGTGGAAAGATGCGAAAAAGTCATATTAAATAATGGTCAATATATTTTAGATTTTAGAGTTTTGATTCATCCTGAAAAACCGAAAGGACATATTTGCCAACACACTAATAAAGTAAATGCTCCTTGGTTTGTAGGAAACAGTCAACACCATCGCGAACTTCAAAAAGAAACAATACATAAATTCATTAAAAAACGCTTCACCAAATATCATTTCCAGTTACCAGTAGTTAAAGGTGTGGCAGCTTTCATCAAAGGAACTCTGATATCATCCCGTAGATTGAAACGCACACTTTTGCTACACCTTCTAATGTGAACTCTGTTACTATATTATTTTTATTTCTATTATTTAAATATTTTATTTATTTATTATATTTCAGAATTTATTTGTTTTATGATTGTTTTTTTTATTATACTATTATTTATTTGTCATTTTTTTATCTTTCTTTATTTATTTGTACATATATACATATTTTTTTAATTTTCAAATTTATTTGTTTTTAATTAATTATTATTGACTTTATATTTTTCTTAAACTTTATTTATTGTATTATTATTCATGTTTTCTACTAACTTCACTACTCCATTGTAATAGGCAACATGTGTCGTTAGGGGTGTATTTTGACTATACCCCCACTTAACAAAATGTTAAAAATTAACTTATTGTCAGTATAGCCATGTATGACTCAATAGACCGATCTGGAAATAAACAATGAATATAATAAAAGGGTTCGAATGCAGTCCTCGAATATCATTTTAATTAATTTAAATTATATTAATTTTAATTAATTTAAACATTAAATAATACTTATATTTAGATATCAATATACAGACAAGAAGATAAAAATTTAATTATTTTACTTAATGGCATGGAATGAATATCTGGATGGAATAGAGAGAGTGATGGATTCCGTACCTTCCGGCCAGTTTGCCGGCTTAGAGATAGCGGACTCGACCTGACTAATGGTTGACCTTTAACGCTACTTATAACAGCGAGCGATCGACGATTAAAGGCCACTATGGGCCTTCCACTAGGTTCAGTTAATTCCTCTATTCGGAGGGTCTGGACTGGAGGATAACGGCCAACAACCACCTCCTTATCTTCGGTGGCATTAACTGCTCCGGTAGTTATCCTCACTGATCGTGGGAGGAGAGGGGAGCATAAAACACCTTTGTCGCAGGTGGATATTGGATATTGCTACCAATGTTCCGCACCGATAACTGTTATTGTTCCCTCAAGGTCAGCCACGATTTATTACTCTTCAAAATGAGCAATAAGAATAATGACGAAATATATCAAGTATTTAGGGTGAATTGTGTAAATATCAAACCATAAATTGTATAAGAATTTATATTTTACGAGTGGTTGTAACAGATATCGAGGAAAACCGCAATACAGTTCGGTAAGTAATAAAAAAAATAAAGAACTAAGGAATGTGGTTTAAAACCATACAATAGTAGTGAAAACATCAACAAGGTGAAATTAATAATACAAAATATAAATTATAAATAATAGTTCATTATAAAGAGGATAGAATGCAGAACAATTACCTCGCTTAGATTATGGAGGCCTGATTTTTAATTTCTGAGGTATTTTAATTCACATGCTTTTTATAATACTCATTACCATTTTATTACCAATTCTATTTTTCCCTATTCACCTCACGATACAATTTTGAATAATAGCTCACAAAGAAATGCAGGTCCGATTTTTAGTTTTTGAGATATTTCAATCCACAGGTATATTTAAGTGTAAAATCGACTCCAGCCGAATTAACCAAGCGTTACATATCGGAAATCTGACGCTTGAATCTAATTTACTCTCCAACATAAAAAGTTCAAAACGCGCCTAAAGAAATTTCACTTCAAAAAGTCCTTGGTGCAGTGCTACGTTTCTGGCTATTCACTTTTCTAAGGTGTGTAGTGGATTCAGAAAACTGTATTTATGAATTCTATATATTTTGATTTCCTTCGGTTACAGAAAGGAATATATATATATGAATACGATATATATGAAAAATATACTATTTATTTATTTAATTGGAATAAGCAAGGCTAGATAGCTCAGACTCCCTGCTGTGCTTATAATACTGACTTATAATTCGTATCAGATTTCTTTAATAAAGGTATGGTGTTATTAATTTAATTATTTAATTAATTTAATTTATCTAATGGTTGACATCCACGAAAAAAGGCTTGAAATAAAATTCTCGTCTATCAATCAATCAAGATGTAACGAAAAAAAAAAAATAAAAAAAAAAATAGTTCGTAAAATAATTTTTAGTTGTTATAAATCATAATATGTTTTTTTTATTAACTCGAAGAGGGTTTAATATATAATTAAGTATTAGTTAATTAAGTATTTAGTATTAGTTTTAATAATAAGCAATTGTTTATAATAAGTCTAGTTTTAAGTATTAAATGTAGATATTATTTTTAAGTCAGTGGAACAGGATTATTTCTCCTGATTGGGAGAAAAAAAAGAAAAGACAGTCGAGTTGAGAGAGGGATGGCGGACCTCGCGAGTGTAGAGGCACGCTAAGAATTTTTAGTTGT